TCGATTAATCGAAATAATAATCGGCCGATTCATCGATTTTTAAAATAATCGTTAGTTGCAGCCCTAGTATTAATTATGCTTATTTTCATTGAAAGTAATATTTGTGGTAGTGACCAAACCAGATACCTGACTCCTATAGCAATACACCATTAAAGACTTTAAGAAGAGCTCATCATCAAAGACAACTCATCAGTCAACACTTTAAAATGTGGGTGAATAATTATAAAAAGCATCTGATTTCTGCTAAGTTAATACCAACTTTCGAGCGTATTCGAGTATGAAAATGTGGCATTTCCATTAAAATGCAAAATATGATGCATGATGAGAAAAGTAGTTTGTATTCTTAATTATACTTGGTGAATTTATTCTGATATTAGTGGGTGTCTGTTTATGCATCTTAGTCAAAGTATTTATTTTAGGTATAGATAAATGATGCAACAAATAATACTTTTCACTAGTACTTGTTTATATATGTCAGTGAAGTTGTTTGTAGAACTGTTAACAGGTGAAATGAATGTGATAAAAACCATAGATCACTACGTTCATGCTGGGGTGAATATGTGCAAAATTCTTGCCATACTCCACTCGTAAAAATTACTCATTGGATTAACTTAATTTAATTGATGGCATTTTTTTTCACCCTATACATTTTTGCTAGCTGAAATTAATCCACATTTATCTGTATGGTGTAAGTTTATTGAGTATGTTCATGCATTTAAAAAAATATACTTTTAAAGAGTAATGAATTCATTCACCAAATTTGAATATTTTTGTTTGGCTTAACTTAATAAAATCTAATTCTTTTGACCAGTATTTGTCCCTGCATTGAATTAAGTTACAGTAAGTTCAACTAACTCATAACGTTTAAATAACCCAATGACATATGAATCAGTTTATCAACTCAATTTTATTTACTTTGTAAACAAAAATGCATGCATGTCACATAGCTAAAATAACCTCGACAAAGACAGAGCTGCATGTAATCATGGATCTGGGCCTCAAGATAACTTATGGTTTCACCAGTGTGGACTTGGCAGCAACAACTCCACCATCTCTTTTAGATGTAGAATTACCTGTCATGCTCGTTCTCTGGCAAAAGTGGTCTAACAATTAAAGGAAATAATCAAAACATTGCAAAGTAACCTACAATTCTTAAGCTCACTTGAAAGACTTTCCTTGTAAGCTCACAAGGTGGCCTCATAGTGAACTCAAGAATTTTATGTTACTTTGCATCATACTTAAAATGTCCATACACATTGTGTTACATCAATGATACTAAACAATTCTGGAACCAATTACTTTGGGTATGTTGAATGGTAACAAAGTGTGTTACCTCAACAGGGGGCTTTAGTAATTATTTGAGTGTGTCATCAAATACTCATGTTATGTTTACAGAAACAAAAAGTATGTTGTCTTTAGCCTATGGTGACTGGGTTGAGATTCATAGAGAAAACTTCCATCATACGTCTCATATCTCTGCTGTCTCCCCTCAGAAGAGTTTTAAAGAATTTTATGGCTCAAACTTGCACTTGCAGACACGTTCTTGATAAGACGTTCTGTCAGCTCAGCATATTCACCTCTATTCAATATACAAAGTCAGGGATGGTGATAATCTATTTACTCTCTGAACTTGATTTTGAGGTATATTAAGGACAACACAGAAAAAGTACCATCAGAGGCATCTTCAATCTTTTAGGCTGCTATCTCTTCATTACATGTAATTACTGCATGCAGCTCATAAGGCTTCAGTACAATCCACCGTCTTGGCAACACACATTTTGGATAATTGGCTAATGGTAAAGTCTTTTTAGGGGTATATTTGTGTTTCTTACTGGCTCGTAGTCTGGCTACCTTTTACCCAGTGTATTTTTAAGACTTTTTATTTATATGGCAGCTGTTTGATAATGAATTATCTCTCTTTTTCATCTTTTGATAGCATCATCACATTGTTATTGCAATAATTAAGCCATCATCTAAGCATTTAGCCCCAAAATTCAAATAAAGCTTGATGCTTTGAATTTCCTGTGACAGAGGGGAGAAGGGAGGAAGATAAAGGGTTTTGCTGTCTCTATGATTTATGGATTTCATAAACGCTAACACCCTCTGCTGCCATTTGACACACCATTCTTCTCCGCACACACTGATCTTGCACAACAAAAGGATGGCTTTAGTGGTTGTTAGTGCCACTCGCATGTACATGCCCGTGAACATGCATGCACGTGCAAACTAACAGCAGGGTCAAGGCTTTGGTTCTGTCAGCATAGCCTCCCACCGAGCTCAAAGCAATACCTTAGCCACCACACTGGGAAGTACAACCTAATGGGGTTCCCACATGCATTTGTGTGCAAATCCAGGCAATTCGACAGATTACTTCCATTCTGTGTTGTGATTTGTCCTGCTATATTGTTATCTATGTATAAAAATCCAATCTGACCTGCGAGTTCTTCATTTAACCCAATCATCATATTAAACCAGGAGGGCGTCACGGTATTATCAGTGCATATTTCCACTGGGTGGCTAAAAGTCTTGTTATATGTTAAGAGATCACAAACCATCACTTGACAGGCAGCACTGTATAACACAGAGGTCTATGTGTCAGCAACTGTGATTTGATTGCTCTGCTATAGGGACAGATGTGGCTTTGTTGTAGATATGCACTTCGTCTGAGTCAAAAGGACCAAGTGTCAGCACTATCAGGTCGGATGCTGCCAACGACACGTCAGGTTACCGTTTTCTCAGTCCACAGTCATTTTCTCCTTCTTTTTATGGCTTCAGCAACATGCCAATTTTACAATCTCCTTTCTTCCCACATCCTCGGGGTAGATGGTAATCCTTTTATAACAACATGTATACAAACCAATTTGGCACTTTCAGCAGTGTGCCTCCCTCGCAGAGGAGACACATAGGCTAATTCCATCAATGAGTGGGTACTTATTACATTGCCCAGGGTTTTTATTCCTATGCTTTTATGACTATATGCTTTTATAGGCAGAATCCTAACGATGCCTTCGGTGATACACAGGATCAGATAAGAAATTAGGCCAGCGATTCTATCCCTATGGTACCTCTGAGAGGAATTTTAAGCCACTTAAGCCATCGCCAGGCATTGCAGCCACTTGCAGCCTATTTGTTAATACATGTAAAACTGTCTTGGTCTCAACAGTAAGCAGATAATTTCGATTGCTTTCATTTTAATCTGAGCTCAGAGAGCGAGATAACCATTGTTTTTTCATATTGTCCCACAGCTGTTTTTCAAAAACTTTGGCACAAGGTTTGTGTTCATTTGTGACTTCTTATCATTTATCTCCTTTTCCCCACTACAGCCCCATTTGCCCCTCCAGGCAGTGAGACAGTTGTGAAGTTTGATTCCCAGGGGGACGGCATGGGCAGATACAACATCTTTAGCTATCAGCGTTCTGGGGAACGTTATGGCTATGTGCCAGTAGGAGAGTGGGCAGAGAGTCTGAGTCTAAACAACGATCTGATACGCTGGCCTAAAGAGGCAGTGCCGACCTCTCAGTGCAGCGACCCCTGTGAGCGCAATGAGATGAAGAAAATGCAGGCAGGTAGGAGAGGGAAGTGTGACTTTTTTTTTCAAAGCAAAGCTTCCTTTATGTTTAAAGATGTTCCCACATGTTGCACATGTTACTGATCCCTAGGCGAGTACTGCTGCTGGATCTGTACAGCATGTGAGCCTCATGAATACCTTGCTGATGAGTTCACCTGCTCGCCATGCGCTCCTGGTCAGTGGCCAACAGAGGACCTCACATCCTGTTATGACCTTCCTGAGGACTACATTATGTGGGAAGATGCTTGGGCCATTGGTCCCATTACCATTGCATGTGTAGGGTGAGTAAAGTACAGGATTTTTTTAATCAAGAAAGAGATTAGAAAGCTTTTTAGATAAATGAAAACCTGCCAGCAGTGACAGATATATATATGAATTTTCAATAACTTAAACCAATATCTTATTTGAATCTGACTAATACAAGCGAGAAATTGACTACAGGCTGAAAATGCAGAAACAGTTCTCTCATCCGAAAGATATATTGGAATAAACCCATAAAGTATTTAAATGAGGAGGAAAATTACTATATATAAAATACAAGTAAACACTAAGTGAAACGTGACAAACTCTAGACCCACGGGCCAAACCCGGTCTGTCACGGTAATTTTTCCAGTTCTCAGAAGCCAAAAAAGGCATATCAGGTCATAGAGGCATATGTTCTTTTAAAGTGTGGAGCATGACTAAAGCGGATAAAGAAAACTGAGTAATAATAGTAATAATAATAGTACTAGAGCAGCAAGAATTTGTAAATATACTATAAAATATAATGTTCAATTTATAAAGCTGCAACTGACCCTTAAAAACTTGATCATGCCAAACCGGACCAATATAAGTGTTTGACTTATCTATAGATGGACCTTAAAGATATATTGAGGCACTTGTAAAGCAATGTTTTAAGCCTTTTAGTCTTGTCTTGAACCATTGTTTAGTTCGTCATCTGAAAATGTTAAAGTATGATACAACAGCAGCCCTGACTGTCCAAAAGAAGAAGTTGCCAAGACACATGCTAACTCTGTGGCAGAAAGCTACCTGCTGCACTGGTGCAGGAACAACAATTAGTCTTCAGAGAGTAAGGAAGTGAGCAAGCTATCTTTAAAACAATGAAATCCTAAATCCAGTTTGCTATCATGCCACAAGCCATATCAGAGCAAACATGAAAGAAATGCCCTGTTTAGATTAAAATTAAATAAAACTTTTGTCCAATGTAGAGAATACTGTGTGGCCATACACACTAGTCAATCTCAAACACCATGCTCAGAGTACAAGGTGATGGTGGCAACAGTGTGCTATTGATTCCCTTCTGGTAACAAGGAATCAAGAAAGCTGTTCAGAGTTAATGTCAAAATATGTAGAGCGAAATTCAGAGAAATCTCTAAAGAAAGGAGTTCGCGGCTGCAATGGACATGATATCAAGCTGAAGATTCAACTTCAAAAAGGACAATGACCAAAATTATACAGCTAAAACTAAAATGCAACGGCAGAGATCAAAGCATATTCATTTTTTAGTATGGTCCTGTTGAGGTCCAGACCTATATTCAATTGAAAATTATCAGCACATTTTTAAAAGACATGTATGTTATTTTATGCGTCATATGTAATATAACATCAGGTGCTTTATTTTGGATGAATAAAATGTACAGTGTTACTTAAGACATACCTGAAATCTCTGAGAATGCAGCATAAATCAGGTCTAAAAATTGCACAGTGGTGGCAAAATCTTTTTCAAGTATTTTAGAAATCTTCTTTACATTTCTGTCAACTTCACAATTTAGCTCAACGCTGCATTGGTAACACCAAATTAAAATAAAGGCTTATGTTGTGGCAAAATGTGGAACAGGATATTTTTAAGGCAATGTAGACACTTTTAGTTCCCATAAACATAAGGGGCAATGCGCATTCCTTCTCTAAATGTTGCACACAGAATTTTGTGTTAGGGTTAGGGTTAGGTCTATTTCTTCAAAGATTTGTAATCTAAACAGACATACATGACATAAACTTTATTCCCAACCATTAATTGTGTTGTGCATGCTCCCTATCTGCAGGTTTGTGTGCACCGGTCTGGTAGCCTGGGTGTTCATCAGACATAACAACACACCATTGGTGAAAGCCTCAGGAAGAGAGCTCTGCTACATTCTTCTCGCTGGAGTCTTTATGTCCTATGCGATGACTTTCCTTTTTTTGGCCAAACCCTCTCCTGCTATATGTGCCCTGCGGCGCCTCGGACTGGGCACTTCATTTGCTGTGTGCTATTCAGCCCTGCTTACCAAAACCAACAGAATCTCCAGAATTTTCAACGGCGTGAAAGATGGGGCGGGCGCAGTGAGGCCGCGCTTCATTAGCCCATTCTCTCAAGTGAGTGAATGCAGCAGTCTGTCCATCAATCTAAATCAGCCAGATGAATGGATGGATAAACTGACACAGAGAAACCCAATGACTTTAATTCTCCTATTCTTCGTTTTTGTCAGGTATTTATCTGTCTGAGTCTGATCTCCGTCCAACTAGTAATGGTCTCAGTGTGGCTACTTCTGGAGGTTCCAGGGACACGGCGGTTTACGTTACCAGAACGACGCCAGACAGTCATCCTCAAGTGTAATGTGCGAGACTCCAGCATGCTACTGTCTCTGGGATATGATGTACTCTTGGTCATCTTGTGTACTGTGTAAGTTTATGTTGTGCTAGTCTCTTAAAAAACAGCTATTACATTTTCTTTTCTTTTTTTTGTTAATCTTACCTGTATCTGTGTGTCATACATTACATCCTGTATGCTTATGTCTTTTTAATAGGTATGCCTTCAAGACCAGGAAATGCCCTGAGAACTTTAATGAGGCCAAGTTTATCGGATTCACCATGTATACCACCTGTATAATTTGGCTGGCCTTTCTTCCCATCTTCTATGTCACATCCAGTGACTACAGGGTATTTTCTTACTTGTGGATTTGCATTCAGATATGTTTCATATAATAATGAAGGAAATTAGGAAGCAACAACACATTTTCATATTCAAAGTAGCCAGCTGCAATGTTTTGTTCACAAAAGGAAAAGATTTACTTTTGAAAAAGTATAATAAATGACAAACGTATTGTTCACCTACTCTTTCACCAATTGCAGAATTTTCTCCTAACCTTGTATGTGGTATTCAGCTTTTGACATTTTTATTTGAAAGCTTTAAAGGATTACTCCCAGAGGCTTATTAAAAATTATATTTTTCAGTGTTAAATTGTGGCAAGCCTGGCTTTGCACAAATTGATCCTAAAATACTTAATACTTGGTATACACTGTGCGATCATTGGGGGGGTTTGTTGGAATATCATTTAGGAATCATTGGTGGTGGCTCTCAATCTGCAGTCTTACATCACACTGCAAAGCCAGGCAGTTTTTTTTAGCATGTTGCGACCAAAGATAACCTGCAATGATTACCTGTCACTGTCTAAAATTTAAAATGCAGGTGTCACAGTATGACAGGTGCTACAACCTACAAGTACTGATAAGTAAATAGCAACCCAACTGTAGAAGATCCGATCCGAAATCAGGGATTTTTTATGAACTTCTCAGATGAAGAACGTCCAAAAACCAGCAGCTACCACGTTACAATACATTTGCATATAAAATTACTCACCTATTTATCCACTATAAGAATCATCTACAACATGGAAACGCAATAACTTATATAAGGGAAAGAGTTTTGGCAAGAAGAGGAGAGACTTCGCAGACAGGGACTGTGGTCCCAGTTAAAATATTTTAAAAAGTAGGCCTTATAAGTTTTGGATTTCTTAATCAATTTCTGTCATGAAGAGTCTGTCCTAATTGCAACATAGAGCATCACGCACAGAAGAAAATAGCTCCCTCTTTCTATTACACACAAACAGGTGAGCACTCTGACTATAGCCAATAACTGGTGAGTAATTAGAGCAAGAAAGAAATATTTTCCCTCATGTTGGATTATTTCAGCGCAAGTCAACAGCAAGATTTTTGCTTTTAGAACCTTTAGAATTTTGGGATTGTGCAATTTTTTATTGTGTTACAGTTGTGTAAAGCCTCCATGAGAAAACATGTCGCAGACTACAAGTTTAGGTATTCTCTCTGTGAACTAGCCTCTTTTTTTTTCTTCTTTTTTTTTTTGTCATGTTCAGCATTATGGCAACAGGATTGGAATCTTAGTGCCATGTTCTGCCCAACTTTTTGCTTTGCCAAGGGAGGCTTGTCAGGAACTAGCATCCTAAGTTGGTCATTTTTGATTTACCCCCATTGCGTCCAAATTCTCTCTTTTTCAGATTTCATTTTTAAGTCGTAACAGCACAGATGGCTGTCATATATGTCTAATAAAGTTTCTTATCATTACTGATCGAGTTTAACACTTAGGTAAATTTAGAAAGATATTTCCAGATTTGGCATTTCCATACCAGTAACTCACCAGCAAAAATTATTTTCTAAAAAAACAACACCTCACTGCAATCACAGCAAGGTGAACTGTGAACAGCAATGATATACAAAAAACTAAAGTAACAGAACAATTACTTATTCCATTCCATGTTGCAGTCCCTTAAAAAAAGCGCACATAAATTACCTTGTTCATACAACAATGTTCTTTTGCATATTGTAGCAGTAATTTTGTTGATACTGCTAAAATATTATTCAGGCTTGATATTAATCAATAAATGACTAATAGAATGACCAATAACTTCAATATTTCACACTGTAGTGCCACCAAACTCACAGTTCAAACAAACTATTTATTCTTGATCATACAACAACTCTTACATTGGGAAAGTATAAAACAAAATACATTTTGGTGGAATTTAAGATAATAAATAAGGACCAATAAATACTTCATTACACATTGTGGTGCCACAGAAATTCACAGAGAGAAGAGAGAGGAAGAGAAAGACTGCAAGGAGAAGAGAGAGGAGCAGGAAATTGAAACTTTCTCTTCCATCAATCATTATGGGCAATGTGAGATTCAGCAAACAACTTAGACAAACTCCAAGTCCTAGCAAGGACCCAGCCAGAATATTGGCAATGTAGCATTATGTGTTTCACTGAAACTCCACCTTAGTCTTCAGGGGTTTCTGACAGAGTGAGTCACGCTGAATCGTCCTAACTGTTCTGGAGAAATCAAACAACTGGATTCTTATGGCGCTGTCTACCTTGCTTAAATGACACTAGGTTTGTTGAAGCAGGTGTGTGATGGCATCTTCAGCTCCAACTTCACAATTATAAGCAAATTGCAAGGAGTCCTCATAGCTACTTGTTTGTTTGCTCAGGTGAATTGTAGTTTTATCAAGAGGGGATGGTTTATTTGTACTGTGAGTTTTTTTTAGGCAATTTGTAATAAGTAGTTATTCGCCATTTTATTGGATGTTTATTGCCTAAATTCCACCAAAATTGAATTTTGACTTATATTCCCAACTTAGGGGTTGTAAAGTAGTATGATCAAGAGTATATATTGTTTTTGTACTGTGAGTTTGGTGGCACCACAGTCTGAAATAGTTAAGTTGTTGGTCATTTTATTAGATGTTTGATGTTATGATTCCCCCTTAATCATTTTTTTACATATTTTCCCAAATTAGGAGACTTGGTATGAACAAGGTAGTATATGTGTGCTTTAATTTTGAAGGGACTGCAAAATGAAATGGAATAAGTAATCATTCTGTTACTTTAGGGTTTGCTAAAATCCTTAGATTATTCAAAAGAATTACCTTTCAATTCAAAAATTACAATCTGAAAACAATTAGATCGCATAGATTATTTTGATTACACTACACATGTCCTTGGTGTAGCCATTACATTTATTTTGGTGTTGCATGTTGCAGACGGTCCCTGCACCGTCAAGAAGAAGAGGCACACTCTGCAAAGAGCAAAATGCAATTCCTCTATCGTTAAGGACGGCCCTCTTTGAGAAAAATACGATTGTAGCTCACAGTTCACCTTGCTGTGATTGCAGTGAGGTGTTGGTTTTGCAGAACCAATGATCCATTGGTGAGTTATTGGATATGAATATCTTTCAAATCTTACCTATGTAATCTCAATGTTGTGCCAAAAACAGATAATTCCATGTCATATACTATATCATGCAATAGTCTTATAATATTGAAAAAATTGCACTATGTAGAAAGAGCATTAGGCAAGCAAATGGTATCTATCTCTGATAATTTTTTCCAACATTTAAATGAGGTGTTATGAAAAAGTCTGTATCCTTGTGCTACTGAGCCGTAGCTACAGATAAAGATCTGTCACATTAAGGAAAAAAGATCATAAGTGAACTTAAATGCTAAATTAAGACGCTCTCAATATTTAAATGTTTCTTACCCTTACAGTTTTTCCCCGATGATTAACAGTGGGAGTCATATCACAGATCAGTGTGTAAATGTGAAAGGTGTTGGGCATTAATACTGAATGCTGTAAACATTTTTGATTTGAAAAAAACACAGCTGGTAACCATTGTGGGGTTCCTGGCAACTAGTTCTTACCAGTACAACTTCCTCTATGCCTGTTTTATTCTGTTTTTATTATTATTATTATTATTCTTTTGGCATCCAGTGTGGACAGCAAAGTAAGAATTTAATTGTACAAGGAAACTTTTTTTATTGTGCATATAACAGTAAAGGATATTTATTTGATTTAATATTAGGCATAATCAATAATTAATAAATATTTGTCCAAATATTAACATTTTAAAGTATTGCCATACATAATATTTCATTTTATTTATCACCCCACAGCTGTGTAACAAACACATTTATCCAACTCTCCATTTCACTCACCAACACATCTATTTCTGCCTTGGTTAAATGATAGTAAGCATTAAATAACATTGATCAGCTTACTTATTATTTTTGCTTTAACAATCCTTAGTTAACAATACTTTAAAAAGTACATTTTTTGTAGCTTCTTTTCCCTCAACATAACTGATAAAAACAGTCAGGTAACATAGGAAATAAATGGCTGGTAACTTTAATCTACAGCTAATCCCATCGGCAGATGCTCCAGTTCTGCAGTTCTGAAGTGACAAACAGGTTCTGTTAAACTGCTGACACATGTCCACACTTACCATCAAAGGTGGATGAATGCGCTCCTAAGCCTCAAAAATCCCATGTACACCTACACACTTTAAGCAGACATGTTCACAAGCACAAACTGTTTCAAAGGGTGTGAGAGAGAGACGTGCCGCCCGAATTGCCCATTTGATCCTTAAGCAAAAAAACCTGAATTATTGTTTTCATTTCCATTTTTTTTTTTTGCTGAAATGTCTCTTTAAATTTGTCTCTGTCATCTGAAAAAGAAAATATTATAACAATTCTTACTTAAAGATTACTCTTGTGCAGACATAACATCCTCCCACATTTATAAATATTTATATAAACAGTGGAGATGTTGGATTGTTGATTACTGACGAATGTGCTCAGCTGTGGTGTGATTTTACTTTCTGTTAACACTTAAGAGTGGTGATTAGGGGAACCTGAAATGAGCAAGCAACAGACACTGCTGCAGAACTGTGTTTAAGAGAGTGGGAAAGCACTTAGCATTGATTTATACAATGAACCACAAAGAACAAACTTAAATTGAACAGGGAGAGACTATTAAGTTTGGCTTCGGAGTTCTCTGTTGATTGAGTCTTTATTGATTGATTCAGTAATTGTTATTCTCCGGACTAAAGTGAAGTAAGAAGATATTGAAATAAGAGTTGTACTCCTGCTATATGTGTCGTATTGGCTATATGCATTATTAGAAGTCAGATCTCTCTTAAACAGTACTTTAATTATTTGTTTTAAAGATTAGAAGCTCTACTGATGCAATAATGTATCTCTAGTAGGTCACAGTGCCATAACAAATTATTCAGTCCTCTACTTTTTTTTCAAATTTAAAACTAGAATCTTCATTGTAGGTCTAAAACAATTAATCATATTGATCATGATTAATTGATTATTGAAATAATCATCAACTCATTTAGTTATCGATTAATCATTAAATGGAGTGTAGAGAGTCTATAACGTGCCTTAGCTGACAGAGCCACCTGCTTAAGCAGCAATTCTACCAAATTCTAGAAAAAAATATGTACATATTTTCCTCTTAAGATAAAAAAATATTTTTCGTCTTCTAATACACTCTTTTCAAAAGTCCTCAAGTGGAAAAGTTTTAGTTTCACCTGGTTAAATTTGGCCAGGTGAAAAGTCTTTTTTAAGGAACCTTTTGCCATCTGATTAATCGATTAATCAAAAAATGAATCAACAGCTTAATTGATTTGTAGAATAATCGTTAGTTGCAGCCCAATATCATTGTATTTTCTGAATTGGTTTTTTTAATTTGTATGTCCACTGATATGTTGTGTTTAGGGTTTATATTTAGTCCTTGGAATAAAAAAATGCATGTCCATCTACCAAACAATTATGTACTAGTTTTTTCAGTGTTTTGCATAAAGACACAAAAGTTTGAGATGATAATGTGATGAAATATTGAAAATTTAAAGGTACTTTTACTTACTTTTACAAAGCACTGTGCAGTCAATGTATACATTAAAATTATCTGCTGAATTGTAAATGGATGATTAATTAAAGTAAAAAAAAAATAAACTCAAAATTTCTGTTTCTTTTTTTTTCAGGTTCAGACCACTACCATGTGTATCTCTGTCAGTCTAAGTGGCTTTGTGGTCCTGGGCTGTATGTTTGCTCCCAAGGTCCATATCATCATGTTTCAGCCCCAGAAGAATGTGACCAGCCACCGGCTTAACCTCAACCGCTTCAGTGTCAGCGGGGCTGCCACTACATACGCATCTCATGGTAGGTTGTTTTTATTGAAACAGCAGGTTTTCTCTTTCAGAGAGGCTCATTTTGGATTCAGTGCTCACAAGCATTTGTTGTGCTGAATCCCAAAAGTGTTTATATCCAATGCTCTTGTTTAACAACTTAAAAACTAATGTTAGATATAACTAAACACCATTTTTTATTATCCTGATCTTAGATTTCATTCAATATGGTACAAAAAGAAAATATTACAAGAAGATTTAATATAATTGCAAAGTTTTGTTGGTAAAGCTTTTATTGTCAAAGGATAAGGATTGAGATATTTGTCTTACTGACTAGATATCTTAGGAGTGATCAAGGGAAGTAATATTCGAAGATATAAAAAAAAAGCCAACAGTGACCCCCGAGAGTGGCCCTGACCTTGAACTTTTGAATATTTGTGAACCATGTTTCACACACAGACATCAATTTCTAACAGATTGTATTGGTATGGTATCGGCCAATACTGAATAGCCAGGTAATACATTAACATGAAAGCTAACATTTCTGATGAGTAAGGTGAGAACTTATCTTTTTATTTTTTATTGTTATTATACTTTAATACTCCCAGAGGGAAATTAATTCTCTGCATTTAACCCACACCCTTTGTGAGCAGTGGGCTGCCATTGTGCGGCGGCCGGGGAGCAGTGTGGGGTTAAGGGTCTTGCTCAGGGACCCAGAGTGGCAGTCTTTTGGAGTGGGGGATCAAACTCACAACCACATGATTCAAAGCCCTATGCCCTAACCACTAGGCTGCAACTTCCCTTAAAAAAAATTTTAAAAATCCTGCCAGAGACTCAATTTTGGCTTTTTAAAATATTTGGCATCTCTCTAACTTGCTAAGTTACATGTATCCAAGTATCAGCCTAAATAGTTATCACATTCATGAAAGGAGAATTGGATTTAGTTTTTTTACAGCTTAGAGCTAATTTAATTTAAATTGATGGTTAGAATAAAAAAAGTCAACAAAATGAGAAATTGTATACCATTTGTTTGAAAAATGTTTATTATAGTATAATTGTGTATTCTGACCACACACAGTGGCTATGGCTTACTCCACAAAGCCAGAGCATTCACTGCTCCTCCCTCAACTCCTGTAACTAGATAGAGCTGAGGTGTTGGCAAACAGCAGCACCGCATGGAGAGAGCGGAAACAAGCTGAACTTTTCTATGAAATCGCGACACAGCAGCCAATCAGAGACTGGTTGTAAGTGAAGCTTTTTTCTCTTAAAATGGAAAACAGAGAAAATAATGTTAAAAACGGTAGAAATAAGGAATGCTATCAAGAGGTCTTTAGGTAGCTTTAAAAAAGCTATTTTAATTTAGTCCTAAAAGGACTGCTAATCGTCCTCAATCACCTTAAGCACAGAGCCCAGTCTGTCACTGCACACTGACCCCAGCATCAGTGCTTCCTGTGTGGGTGGATTTACAATGAAGTCCCGCCTATTCTTCGAATCAGAGCTCTTTTTTTCAGAGCTTTTCGGGCTTATCCAAAAATGTGTTGGTCTCCCCAAGGTGATTCAGAAGTTTTTCATAAGAAACAATTTAGCAGTAGTCTGTGATGTTAAGTTTTACCTGTCTTTTTATTGTGAAATGCCGACAGACAAAGAGTCCATGGCAGGAAATGACCTGGGAGTGCTGTCGATTTACTAAATATCAAATAATCATTCCAGCCACTAAATAAGGTAAACATGCCCACTGGTATATTCAATACCAGCACAGGAATTATGTTTTGCAATAACTTTATATCAGGAAACAAGCTCAGCAATAGCGTCTGCTGGGATGGCGACGTCATCGGCCGTAAATAAAAATTGTGAAGGATTTGTCCTTTAACTCTTGTTCATATAATGTGGTCTAACATGAAATATTAAGTATTTATTTCCAAATGTATGTTTTTCATTATCAATGCCAATTTTTAGTCTCCAATGACTGTGTGATCTTTTAAAAAAGAATTTGCTGATATTTATACATTTTTACTTACTCCTTCATTGTTACAATAGCTTAAAATGCACTTATTTATATTTCTCTTTGCCTGTCTGACACGATTTTTATTCATTTATGAAACACTTGACATACTGACTGAAAACTGAGATTCTTCCATTTTGGAAATTTATTTTATCAGTATTTAAAAAACTATTACTTTTTCAAGCCTTTAAAAGACAATTAAAAGTTTTTACTTTTAATTTTCATGACAAAAGAAGAAGAAAGATTGAAGCTGCAGTTTTCCCATGTAAACACGGTGAATAAACTGTGCTGATTACCATGTCGTCAGAGAAGAGATAGCACTGTTTTCTGACCTGCTGTACCTGAGGACAGAATTAGAGCTTAAATTGATTGGCTCTGGTCTCAGAAGCAACTATCTTTTTTCCTAATGGTGTAAGTCCTAGTGTCTTTGTCAGTCACACACTGCGGAGAAAGTGCACAGCGGGAAGTACAGCTGATCAAACAGAGAGGGATAAAACAACATGGCCCATTGTGAGAATGGGGCCAAATACCGGAAGAATAAAAAAAAAGGAATTTGAAGGAGACACATCCTCTGTCTAAAACAACCAGACTGATTAAAGTCACAAATAAATCCAGAGATAATTAGTTGCCACATACATCTTTTAAATTTACATTAAACTATACATTTCTATACATATCAGAATGAAAAACCATACAATAATAATACAGGTTTACTTCATGTCAACTCAGTGTGACTATTTAATCCCTTTATACAGACGGTTGTTGCTTTTGTTTGCAATTGATAGTTGCAAGTGTTTTTAGTTCCTTACACTGTCTTATTACAGTACCAGTCTTTCTGTAAGAACATTGGACGTTTAACTTTAATTTCTTAAATTAAATTTCTGGGAGCAGTTTATTTTTTTAATACCAAAATTTGAAACAATTATCATTATCAGCTAAATAATTCTGCTCCATCGAAGGGGAGTTCAATGTATTTTAGAGTACACTGTATACACAAATTATTACAACTTTTAATTGAAAGTGTAAAACAAAGTAATTATATCAATTTCCGTGTCTAAACTTGAGAAATATCTTTAAAGAAAACGAAAATAAAAAAAACAAGTAGAGGGAAGTAAAAAGCACAGCAAAAACCTGCTAATAAGTAATTAAATTTCGTTTATTTAAATTGGACCAATTCAGAACATTTCATCTTAAGACCTTTTACAGAGACATTTCATTCAGATCATAAATTCAGATTGGTAAACAGTTTTCTAATTATGGAAACCTGGCTGACTTTGCAGGACAATCTCCTCCTGGATGAGCAAGTTGTCTTTAACTCAACAGCAATCCCTCACACTAAGCATGCATGCAGTGACAGTGAGAAGAAAAATGCCCTTTTAACTGGAAGAAACCTCCAGCAGAACCAGGCTACGTGTGAGCAGTATTCCGCCGAGTGTGATGGGTGTTAAAAAAGATAAGAGCAAAAAAAAAGAAAGGAACATAAAAGCACTGATCCATAAATGCTTTCTATGCCAGCATAGGTAACAGTAAACTACCTCCATAGATGGCTCTGTCTAGGAAAGAAACAGTTATGCTGATGAGCTCTGAGCCAGTTTTCATATCAAAGGGAGGAAAGAGAGCACATAGAGTCACAGTAAAGAGGAGCCCATAACTATATCTAGGACAGAAGCAGGACATAATGAGTGATGACCAGAAGTGTCAAGTAACAAAGTACAAATACTTTGTTACTGTACTTAAGTACGCTTTTTAGGTATCTATACTTTGCTCCATTACTTATTTTTCTTCCTACTTCTGACTTCTACTCATTACTTTTTCACACAAGTATCTGTGCTTTCTATTCCTTACATTTTTAAAACAAACATTAATCGTTACTCTTGGCTTCGGTTTAATGTTTATAAATATTTATTTCACTACCTATGCGCCATCCAATGCAGATCATTGGTGCCATCCACATCCAGTGAAAACTAGTGTAATTGGATGAGTCATATAACGCAAACACTCATTGGATAGCTAAAGGAAATCATCAGAAGCAAGCAGGTGTTCTTCAAACTCCAAACGTGAATTGTCTATGCCATGCTACAATGTCGGATTCAGAAAAAGATGTTGAAATGTCGGAAACAGGCGAGAGCTGGAGACGGAGACCAACAAGACCTCCCTCATCCTTGGCCCTATCTCAAAGAATTATACAATCGAAATAGTCAAAGAATTTAGCTTTGAATTCATATAGTGGTATCTGGATGTTTTTTTTAAGGTTACTTTATGCTTTTATACTTTAAGTAGTTTTTTTAGCACATTCTTTTTCGCTTTTACTTGAGTAAACTGCAGTATCTATACTTCTACTTAAGTAACAAATGTGTGTACTTTTGACACCACTGGTGATGACATTACAAAAAATATGGATTGTTTCCACTCAAAATCGCAATAGCTAAGTTTCCTGCTATAATGTGAATTATCAAAGAGAAAATCCATGTCCTTCTTAATTCAGTAAGGACGGATAATTCAAGAGAAATGTTGAACAAAAGCATAAAGCTTTAAAACAAACCAGCACTCTGGCTTATTATCCAGAAAATTCTAAGATAAATAAAACACAAACAATGAGAAGCCTTCTTTTAATTTGATGGGGGACATATGTGAGTATGTTTAAATGAAACCAAGTAATTGTGGTTCATTCTTTTGAATGAATCAGAATTGTATAAAAATGCTCCAAATATTTTTTTTTTTTTTTGCAAAACACAGATAATAAATCAACATAATCAAAAAAAGAAAGACTTAAGTAAGGGCTAAGGGGGAAAAAATGTTTTATTTATCCAGTAAAATATTTTATTTAGTGGTTTATAATCGATCGTCATATTTTAATATCTTGTTCTGTTTTGTTCCTAGCTTCTGTCAGTGCCCACTTCGTCCCAACAGTGTGCAACGGGAGGGAAATAGTTGACTCGACCACTTCCTCTCTGTGACATCATCCAGTTCGCTCGCTAAACCTGCCCCAGCGACTGTTAGCCAAGTGACGAACATTTTTCATCCCAGCTTTGTTTTTATTCCCCCTTTTAAACACACAAACACTCTCTTACATACACACACAAACACACTCACACAAACTGAATACAAGCAAACGCCTTCCTTGTGGACTAGAACTGTATTGTTTTACAAATGTAGAAAGTGTGTAACTATAATTAAATTATTTTCTAGGGATGTATATACATTGAATCAACATTGTTGTACGTAGAGAAATGAAATAACAAAAAAAAAAATGTTTTTAGGAGGAATTTTTTGGAAACTTTGTTTTTGATAGCCTTGTTTCAATGTAAAAAGACATAAGCTTAAATATGGTAGGGGGACTGAGTCCTTCCATCTGGATGCACATTTGTGGCTCTGCTTGCCTCACTGCAATACCCACAGACTTTTGATTCTCATGCTTTTTGTAGTACCTCATTGTAATAACTAACTGTATGCATTTCTAATGTGGATCTGTACATTTGTATATTATACTACTGATGGTTCAAAGAGCACAATGTTAAAGGTCTTGAGACATCAGAATGAATGTGGACAAAAAGATAACTGGACGAACTAGAACAGCCAGATAAGAAACTAAAAATGGAAACAAATGCATACAGAAAGAAAGAGACAGAGAGAGATCCATCATATTTAGTGATATATTTCTGTTTGAAAATATATCGTATTTCATCTTAATAGATGGTAATTGTTTCCTGGATCTTTGTCAAAATGGTCTTTGGCTGTTTTGGCAGAAAAACATGTTTTACTTTTGATACAAATGATATTATTTTCTAATTATGGTATCCCTTTATCTAAATGGCCATCATTCCAGAGATGTGTTCAGCAAAGCATCACTTTTTCCCTGCCACTTTTAAGCTGATGTGTTTTAAAGACTGCTGAGATGCATTGCTAATAAGGAATAGCTGGCTGAAAACACTTTATTAAATCCCCTAAAGAACAAACAAAAACAAAAAAATTCAGTTACCCAGTTTTTAAAGTGTTTTGCAAAAGGATTCAGACCATTTGATCTTTTTTACATGTTGTCATCTAACACCGTCAGTTTATTATAGTGGATTATTATTGGATAAAGCAACAAAATGGTTGCATAATTGTAAAGTAAGAGAAAACCATGATACCATGTTTTAACATTCTGTACAACTAAAATATTATAAAAGAGTCTCTTTCTAAAATTACATTAAGCTGCATTTAACTTCAAGTTCTTTGGAGTTTCTCTCTACCAGCTTATCATCTGGAAACTGAAATTATTGCCCATCATTCAAAATGAATACCGTTTGTGAACTGCAATAGTCAAGTTTTAATTCTCCATTTTAAGTTTGGACTTTAAATGAAAAAAATAATTGCACTGATTTAATCTAGGCAATCCCAATGTATTTATGTATTTTTAGTGTTGTTATCTGTTTGAATGTGAAGTTTAAACTCAGAGTACAGCCGTTTGCAGCCTTTGAGAGGCTTTTCTTCAAGATGAGCCCATCTTCCCATGGACCTTATGAGCTTCCCTATCCCTGCTTAAGAACGGCCTTCCCACAACATAATGCATCCATCACCCTGTTTCACATTTTCCACAACAGATTAAATTTCGGAAATTGGCTTTAAGTTTAATGTTGGTCTTATTTCACCAGTAGACCCTCTTTATCTTTTTTTTTTTATTATTTCCCATACATGTTTTTTGGTAGTAATTCTGAATTTTTGTGTTACTACCTTTAAAGAGTGACTCTCTCCTTGCTACTCTTCCATTATGGTTGGGTTAGAGAAGTGCATGAGTAACAAATATATCTTTAGTAGTTTTTTTTATAAAACCACACATCTGTTTCTTTGCACTACCCAGTTATGTAATTATGAATTTCCACAATATAAAATATGAATAAAGTATATTGATGTTCCAATGTTCCAAGAATACTTTTGCAAAGCACTATATGAACTTTGGGTTCCTAAACTGAGAAAGTATGTCGCTAAAGAAAAAGGGGATGTTTTGCTGAACACACGTTGACTTTTTCCACCTTTAGGGGAGTAGTAGCTTCTAATTCATGCCCTATAGATACCGTCTGGTTTGATATTTTCAATATGGCTATGTGCCTTAATCTGTGTTTGATAGATAATTGTTGTTAGAGATCAGATTTACACTACCAGCTCAAAGTCTTTGTTTGGTTGATGTAAAAAAGTGGCCTCAGTATGAAGACAATGCGTCTATGGCAGCAGGTTTATTTTATGTGAAGTAAAGGTCCAGGAATTCTAACAAATCACACGTTTTAAGTGGGTTCCTTGAGTCTGAAAAACAAAGAATATTTAGAAAAAATATGTTTAGGTCTGTGTTTTGTCCTCCTGCTATCACCTCAGTAGCTGCAGGTAAAAGAGGGAGGAGAAGGGGAAACAGGCTACATCATTAGGAGGAATTCAGAGAGTATTTGACTTGTTGAAGTGTGCAGTTTACAAGCTTGTGTTAAAATGTGTTTATGTTGGGAAGCACAGTGGAGCAGCTGGCTTTGGCAGTCCCACAGAGGCTCAGGAGACGAAGGACAGCACATTTTGTCAGCTGCTGGCTGATCCACGCCAGCAATAGATGTTAGAGTAGAACAGATATGCACAGCCCCCAGAAAAAGGGGATTTTCTCATTCATACAGATGTAAATGTTTGGATGTGATTCTTAAAATTACTGAATAAATTTAATATAAAAAAGCGACTTAGAGGGAAACTTTAACAGCTAAAGATAGCAGAGTAATTTATTACATTTAATTTAATTGTCCTGCAATTTTTGTTGAACTTAGGAATATTTTTCACAAAACTGATCTCAATGTTTACATATTATATGCTGTCTAAAATAAAGTATGACTGTTACATTTGATGTTTTAACCAAAAAAATGATCAGAATAACTTTTTTCAAAGCAGTGTTTTTGTCAAATACAAAGTAGATGTTTGCAGAACTTTTAGATTCCATCTTCTGAGTGGTCAGCATGTTTGCACAGCCTCCTGTGTTCACTGAACTAAATGATAGAAGGGATTTCAAAGGTTGTGTCAAGAGGAGGCAACCTACATTGGGGTGTGTTTATTAGGTGCAGAGAGCAGCAAGAGACAGCGATGTGGCAGAGATGCTGCTGCTGCTGCTGCTCCTGCTGGATTATGTAAAGCACTCACAGAGCCCAGAAGTCGGCAGCGCCTCTGTGGAAGCTCAAAGCATCCCACAGATTCACAGTGTTTGTTAGAAGAAGGTTTAGCCATTCACTCTGTGGTCCTGCTCCCTCCAGATACACACCACATGACAGGTTGCTATGGACAACCACAACTAACACATCCAACACTGGAATGTCTTAGTTGGCAGCATGAAGAGAAAAACTGGGAGAAGGGATGAGGAGTGCTTGAGTAAAGAGAGACAGAAAGAGAGAGAGAAAAACTGGGTTGAAGGTTCTGATCCAAGTTGGCAGACACCAATGAGATTGGGCTCTTTAGGGCCCTGTACTCACGGCTTTTTAATAGGCACACAAACAGAGCACTTAACCCTGATTCTCCAGTCATTTAGTCCAGGGACCAGTCCAAGACAACAGTCTCACACTCTTCCCTGACCCTCTCTCTCACAGTCCGCCTCACCCTTCAACCTTTCCCTTACCACCTTTTGTGCACCCCATCTCCACTCCGTGTGTGAAACTTGTGACTGATTCGGTCTCAGCCAAGACCACCAAAGCCAGAGCAACAGACTGGTGGCTTAAACTTGAACTGAAGCGGTCTTCTAAAGCACATGACATGGAAGCTGCTGTGACAAGGTTAGAAAAGAAATGGAGGGATGTCAAACAAAGGATTTGGAAAATGAATGGTGGAGGAATTGAATTGAAAACTCAGATGTAAAGGAACACATTGCTTTAATTCTCATTACTTTCATGGAAATGATCATCTCATCTCCTCCATAAATTAATTGGGAAACTTCTTTAATTGGTTTTCCTCATGAATATCCTTTACAAATGGCAATCTATTAAGGACACTGTTCCTCTTTTCAGGCTTTGCCAACTGTCATTTCTTTTTACAAAGGTCTACCCCCCACCCCCTCTATATAGCAGAATGTGTCCCTGGCCTCTGGGCTTTGAAACAAGAAGAGAACTCAAGAGACAAAGCGAAACGGATATCAATCTGAACTCTTGGAACTGGCTGGTCACAAAAAGCAATAGCTCCTGCATTTATGAAATGTGCAATAAAGAGGCTGTGATGACATCATAATAAAGACCATGAAGTAAACATCAGCTGTTGTTTCCTCCTCCCTCTCTTTGCCATGTGTGCCATGTAGGATTCACAGCATTTGTTGGCTCTAACACCTTGCCTGATCTGTTCCCTTAAATAAAAACACTCCAATTAAACCATCTACTGGAGAGTTTCCTGCACTAGGACAATGCATGCCAGTGAAGAATATCAGCCTGGTAAAGAGAGAAAAAATGAAAGAGGGAAAAAGGGGTAAAAATACAATATAAAGGAACATTTTAAATTTTGTTTTTGCAAAATCTTACTTTATACTACAAAACTGACTTTCAGAAAACAAATGTTGGATGTTTGTTTAACATCATAGCATCATTTGTTTAATTTGATGTTGGTTTAACAAAAGGCTTTTCTAATCTTTTAGGGCTGCATCATCATTTTAAAGTTTACATAAACCGAGCAGGGTGAGGAGTGAGGCCTTTTACCTTTGGAAAGATCGCCCTCTGGTGGTTAACTTTGGTCACTACTTCAGGTTAGTTGCTTTACATGTCAGGCTGCATTATAAAAGGAAAGGCCCTGGAGCAAAATCCTAACTATGAAGTACAAGGACGGCAGCGTCATGTTGTGAGAATATATTAAAGCAGGAGGGTCAGGGTTTATTTACACAAAAAAGATGGAATCATGAGAAAAATAAAAAATATTTGTACATATTCAAACAGCTTAAGCCATCCAGCTAAAATCACAATCACAAAAATTAAAAACAATAAAGTCAATATATACATGTGGCCACGACAAAGCTGCGGCCTTATTTATAATTTGTGGGCAGAGAGTAAAATTTGTGTGTGCAAGTTAGTTTCACAAACATGATTCAGCTGCACAAAATTTAAAAAAGGAATGGACATAATTCTAGTAAATTACTGTGAGAAGCTGGTGAAAAGATAACCAAACGATTTCATTGTTTGAAAGGCAATTATACAAAAATAAAATAAGGGAAATGTTTCATTTTTTATTTGAAAGTTTTAATGATTCTTATTCAGTAATCAGATTTTGATATCTGTACTAAAACAGACTTATTAGTAGGAAAAATATGGCTATAGATGCTATTATGCTATGTGGGAATTAGCTGAATGTGATTGTATCTAAGGCCCTGCCCAAAGTATTTTCTCCATCTGTACTTCTTATTTCCCATTTCAAAATCTTTTTAAACAAAGTAAGCATTCTTTACTCTGTGGAGCAGAAACCAAGCATCAGATCATTTAACATTGCTTTCCACATACAGTAAGTTCCATAATGAAATATTTTATTTTTACTCTAAAGTAAGGTCTTCCATGTTCTAAATATACTATTGATTGTTTCCTTTGGTATCACCAACGTGACTTATGAGTAAAAACACAAATACAGTCATGTAAAGCCATCATAGTGAGAGATTTCTTAAAGCAACTTTGAAACATCACAATTTAATCAAAGCCTGTGGAGCTGGTTGACAGTTAACTTTTGTATCTCTGCTTCTGTCTCCTTGATCCCCAGTCGGCCTCGGCAGGCGCCGTTCACACTGAGCCTGGTTCTGCTGGAGGTTTCTTCCTGTTAAAAGGGAGTTTTTCCTCTCCACTGTCGCTACAAGCATGCTTATTATGAGGGATTGTCTTCGAGTCAGTGCAATCAACTGGCTTTCCTTAGATAGAAACTTTGAATCAATCTGACTCGATGATCTGCTTGAATTGTAAGTGCCTTGAGATGACATGTGTTGGGAATTGGCGCTATAGAAATAAACTGAATTGAATTGAAACTGAATTGAATCACACAGAGTCGATTTTACATAAATATGTCATTTATTTGGAGCACAATATTAACAGCTTAATACAGCAGGTTCATTTTTAGTCCTACTTATCTCCCCACCAAAATGACTTCAATGAAACAAAAGAGTCAAACACACACACATATGAGAAAACAAAGCCAGTCAGAGTGCATCTACAGGATATGGAAACACACACACAGTTATAGTGTGTCTTGACATCAGGATCTCCACAATCAAAGGAAATAAAACATGACACAGAATTAAATAAATATACATCGAACTGAACAAGAACTCATATAGGTCCTTGTATTACCCTGAGCTTTCTAAAAACATTTTCCAGCAAAAAGATAAGCCAAAAAATGTGTGTCATACACACCTGTGTCACAGTACTATGGCTCTACGGTACCAAGCTATAAGGCCACCATCTTATTGTGACTTCTTTTAATCTGGCTTTTTATGCAGAGTGTATTTTTTTATGTACACACAGGTGGTATTCCAGGTACCAAAGCTCATAAGAGGGACACTCTAAGGTGGATCACCCAGAGCGAAGTTTTTTTTCCTCCTTGCAGCTCCTGTTTGCAGGGCTTTAACTCCACACCAACGCCTTTGATGAGGACGAGTTCAGCTGCACATTTTCATAACTCTGCCCATTTCCCTGATAGCAGAAGAAACAGTGTTTATAGTGCAGCTGTCTGAGGACTTTAGCACAGTGAGACATTACTTTCTGTGATAATGCAACAGCTCTCACCTTAGATGCTATTGCTTTCAGTTTGCCAAGCAGTGAAGGTTTGGTGTACACAACTTCATCCTCCATGTCTCCCTCATTCTCTCCCTCCATCACAGCACAGCTGTCAGCCACTGGCATTTCACACTCCTTATTGGCAGACATAACCAGCCGGGAGTACTTGTATTCCAATCTTACAAAGAGAAAGGCAAGAGAATCAATACCAGAAAAGGATGTGGGTCCAGTTTTAAAACGAACAACTGATGTGACAAGAGGGGAAAGTGAATTGGAAAAAAAAAGAACAAAATGTCATCCAAAAAAGAAAAAGGAGAAGACAATTTATATCAAAAAGGAGCAAGATAAGAAAACAGAAAGAAAAAAAACAAATAAAATAAAAGAAATATGGCAAGAGAGAAGAAATAAAAAAAATAAAATAAAGGCAGGAAAATAGGAAAACAGAGAGACCTAAACATGGGACATTAAAAGGTGGAAGACAGTTTTATCTTGCAGTTATAAAAAACAATAAACCTTGATGCTCCTTTAAACCCTGATTCCAGTAGCGGCTTTAAATGTTACTGGCATGACAAGGTGTGTTCTGCAAACAACACAAGGAGATCCATCTAACCTGGCAGTAGCCAGATTGATCAGTGTAGATCTGAGTTGAGTTCTACGTTATCAATCTAGTTTGTCCATGAAAAGCAGGGACGTTTAGTACAATACTTAGAGCTGACTAGGTGAAGTGCCAGCTAGTACCTGCCTTCCATAATGCGCTTTCAGCCAATCGTAGCAGCAAATTGTGACGTTAAGTGTTTTCACAACTACTGGAGAAAGCTGATAAATCAAACTTTTTCCAAATCCTGTCAGAAGAAAAGCACAGAAATCTTTCCCATCTACAAATGCACAAAGTTTTTCTCTTTGCTCCTTTTATAAACGAGAAATTGTGGCTATTTTAGCTAAAACCTATCGACAGGTGAGTCCTCCAGTGTAGCCATGTTTGTAATGCCCTGACAAGCCCTTCTGACTGTCATCATTCCTACATGTCCCGCCCCCAAAAACACTGCTGGCATGTCATTGGTCCGACCCGCTGGTTGTTACAAGACGGATGTACTAATGTAATTCAATTCAAGTTTACTTCTATAGCGCCAATTCACAACACGTCATCTCAAGGCACTTTACAGTTCACCAGATCATACAGTCAAATTGATTAAAAGTTTTCTATCTAAGGAAAACCAGTTGTTTGCATCGACTCATTGACTCGAAGGCAATCCGGTACGAATCCCTATTAGTAGGAGTCTTTCAAGATGGATTTGTTGTGAGACTGAAAACTTAGATCTTGCAACAATCCAGCTTGCAGCATAAGGTTAAGCTCCATCATGATCTGGGGGCTCTTTCCTTCAATGGAACTTCAGGTTGTGTAGAGCCATCAAATGGCAGCTTGCTCTGTGGGGATATTGCAGGGGGCATCCCTAATTATCTGTGAGGTAAGAACTTGTTTTATAGAACTACACTACAATAGATGCCCTTTGTGCTGATTTCTCTAGCAGACAGATCAACATTCACTCTAGTCTCCAGAAAACACTCGCATCAAGCCTGGTGCAAATCAATTTTCAAGTGATTACCAAGAATGCACAGATACTCATTACTGAGTCCTTCTTTGAACGTGTTTCTATTTCAGAGGGTTTGTTTTGTTTTTTTTGTTTTTTATGTGGTTTTAAATGTTTAATGTATTTCAGTTTAATTGTTGTTTTCAATAAATTGCTTACTCTACTTTTTTTTTTGTTTTACTCCCTCCCTTGCTTTTGTAATTCTTCCCAAAAACTAATTAAAATCCAACAGTGCAAGATGTGAATTCTTACTAGTTTTCAACTGGTCTTAATTTTTTATTCAGCTGTGTAATAGGAAAGATTTGTTTTTTCAAAAAGGGTAAAAAAAAACAAACAGAAATTTAATGTCAAAAGAGCATCTAAAATTGAAAAATAAAGGAGAGAATCCAAGGAAGTGAAGTCAGTATAGAAAATCCATTCATGATGGAACCATAATGAAAAAAACGCTGAATAATAAAACGCTTTAGGAAGAAGGAATCAGAGAAATATTGGTAAAAATATTGGAGAGTGAAAAGGTGTTTCTGCTAAAGCCAGAGGGAGGAAACTACCAAAAAGTACCGTTTATTCTTCTTCCAAAAGTAGCAGGTGAGAGAGATGAGCAGCACGGCAGTGAAAATCCCCGTCCCTGCACCAAGCCGAACCCAGAACTCCATACCCTCGCAAGGCACGGTTTTCTTTTCAGGCAAGCTGGCGCCCCCTATACACAGCTTGGGTTCAGTCCACACATACAGCATGTCCTGACAAAAAACACATATATTCATAGAATTAAAGAAAAATAATTAACATGAAAGGAACTAACCAGGATCTAAAATGGGTGTTTCACTGTTCTAATTCAAATTCATATTTATTTAAAGTTTAATTTGTTAGACTAAACGGCGAAAAGAAATGCTCTCCTATAATTAACACCATGGAAACACAAAAACACACCTGCTGTCCTCCTTTGCAGACTCCCTCTATCAGATGGTAGTCTCTAGCGGTGCATGTCGGACAAGCTCCTGAACTCTCCCAAAAGAAATGGAAGGTGCAGCCATCACATGTTCCTTCAGGGCACTGACTGGAATGGCCGAAAACAGACCTCATTACTTCAACATTAAAAACAGCACTAAT